AGGGTTTGGCCCCAAATCAACTCTACTTTATTTAATTTAATTTAATTGTTGTTTTATTATTATTTCCTTGAAGTTACTAACTCGTTTATTATTTTGTAGTTGCAAACAAACAGAATCAAAGTAAGAATTATGTTCCTTTTATTTCTATTATTTTTCTAACGATTTTATATTGTTGGAATTATTGTTGAATTGCTTCCAATATTAATGTTTATTCTATTATATTTTGTATGATCACCATATTGCATATTTAAAGGGAATATTTAATTGAAAATCACGACTAATAAGATAATTTGGACAACCGGTTTAGGTTCCTTTTTAATCTTGTTGTTAATTCAAGTGATCACAAATATTTTAGAATTACGTGTTGCATTAATATTCAACCAATTTAGCTTGATAATAGTTTGGAGCGAATTGAATATTTTGTTTGTATGCCTTTGAGATCGCATGAATGTTTTTCACTATAAGAATCGAGTAGAGGCCAATACGGGCGAATGTGACTCCATGACTCACTTCGTACCATCATCCCCGATCCTCCTTTCGTGGTTCCGAACCATATGGAGTTAGTAATCTCATGGATTATGAATGGGGTGTAACCTTCACGGGTCAATCGTTGTTGCCTATCGTTGTTCCTTATTCGTGGTTGCCTTTTATGATCCGTGAACGGTTTACAAGTTCCTTAAAAACTTGTTGGCGACTTTCTACTTTCCTTGTCCCTAATCATATATGTCAATTCTCACTTCCTATGAGTGTCAAGCATATTCACCACATGCTTTAACGTAGGCGCACTTCGAACGACGCCTACACTTACCATGGTCCTTAATACCCTCCGGTAGTCCAATAGGGTGGGTGAAACTATCCAATTCGCCTTTAAACGGCCAATTTACCGATTTATAACTTGCACCGATTTAATTGATTCAAGCCTACCACGAACATTTATGACAACATATAATGATCATATATGGTTCCAAACGTTGTTATATGACTCCGAGATGTATTCCCTAAAATCTCAAGGCTTTGCAAAACCGTGACCCGAAACCTCAAAAATTTCTCAAAAAGCGTGGATATTGCCTTTAATTTTGAAATTTTTTGACTTTTTTTCACCCCGCAAAAAAATTGCCGAAATATTTACCAGTTTCCTAATATCCTCCGGGAGTCCAATTGGATGGGCTGAATTATCCAATTTGCCTTTAAACGACCAATTTACCGATTTACAACTTGCACCGATTTCATTACATTAAACCTACCACGAACATTTATGACAACATATAATTATCATAAATGGTTTTAAACGGAATTATATGAGCCTGAGATATATCCACTAAAATTTAAAGGCTTTTCGACGACACCAGGCCTCGAAACTTGCAAAATTTCTAAAAAACGTGGATCTCAGGAAAATAAAAATTGCCGAAATGTTTAACATGGTCCCTAATACCCTCCGGGAGTCCAATTGGGTGGGTGGAACCAATCAATTTGCCTTTAAACGCCCAATTTACCGGTTTTCAACTTGCACCGATTTCATTAACTCAAGCCTACCATGAACATCTATGACTACATATAATGATCATATATGGTTCCAAATGGCATTATATGACACCCATATGTATTCCCCAAAATCTCAAGACTTTTAGGTTCCCGAAACCTCCAAAATTTCTCAAAAAGCGTGGACATTAGCTTTCAATTTTGGAAATTTTTTACTTTTTTTTCGTCCGAAAATAAAAATTGCCGAAATGTTTACCATGGTACTTAATACCCTCTGGTAGTCCAATTGGGTGGGTGAAACCATCCAATTTGCCTTAAACGACCAATTTACCGGTTTACAACTTGCACCGATTTCATCAACTCAAGCCTACCACGAACATTTATGACAAAAAATAATGATCATATATGGTTCAAACGACATTATATGACCCTGATATGTATTCCCTGGAATTTCAAGGCTTTTATCGATACCGGGCCCCGAAAGCTTCAAAATTTCTCAAAAAGCATTGAGATTAGCCTTTATTTTTGGATTTTTTAGATTTTTTTAGCCCAAAAATAATAATTGCCTAAATGTTTACCATAGTCCCTAATATCCTTCGGGAGTCTAATTGGGTGGGTGGAACCATTCAATTTGCCTTTAAACGATCTTTTTAACGGTTTATAACTTGCACCGATTTCATTAAATCAAGCCTACCACGATTATTTATGACAACATATAATGATCATATATGGTTCCAAACATCATTATACGACCCCGAGATGTATTCCCTAAAATTTCAAGGCTTTTCGACAACATGCCCCAAAACCTCAAAAATTTCTCAAAAAGCGTGGATATAAGTCTTCAATTTTGGAATTTTTTGACGTTTTTTCGCCCGTAAATAAAAATTGCCGAAATTTTTACCCTCCGAGAGTCCAATTGGGTGGGTTGAACTATCAAATTTGCCTTTAAACGTCCAATTTATCGATTTACAACTTGCACCGATTTCATTAGATCAAGCCTACCACGAACATTTATGACAACATATAATGATCATAAATGGCTCCAAAAGGCATTATATGACCCTGAGATATATGTCCTAGAATTTCAAGACTTTTCGACACCGGGCCCCGAGACCTCAAAAATTTCTCAAAAAGCGTGGATATTAACCTTCAATTTTGGAATTTTTTTGACTTTTTTCCGTCCAAAAATAAAAATTGCCGAAATATTTACCATGGTCCCTAATACATTCCGGGAGTCCAATTGGGTGTGTGGAACCACCCAATTTGCTGTTAAACGGCCAATTTACCGGTTTACAACTTGCATCGATTTAATTAATTCAGGCCTACCATGAACATTTATGACAACAAATAATGATCATATATGGTTCCAAACGACATTATATGACCCCAAGATGTATCTCATAAAACTTCAAGACTTTTCGACGCCGGGCCTTGAAACCTCCAAAATTACTCAAAAAACTTGGATATTAGCCTTCAATTTTGGCATTTTTTGACTTTTTTTTTTGCCCGGAAATAAAAATTGCCGAAATATTTACCATGGTCCTTAATATCCTAAGGGAGTCCAATTGGGTGTTTGGAACCATTCAATTTGTTGTCAAACGGCCAATTTACCGGTTTACAACTTGCACCGATTTACCGGTTTACAACGACCAATTTAATTACCTTGCATCGAACCCGACTTAAACCGAAATTGACCCCAACCCGTTTTAACCCGTCAAAACCCGAATTTAACCCGACTTGTTACTAACCTGACATGAATTCAACCCGATTGTTTCCTAATCCGACCCGAATATAACCCAACCTGTTACAAACCTGACCCGAAATCAACCCGACTTGTTATTGACTTGACCCAAATTCAACCCCACTTGTTATTGACCCGATCCGAATTTTACAAGACCCATTACTTACTTGACCCAAAAATTCAACCCGATCTATTACTAACCTGACTCGAAATAACAAGACTTATTATTAACCTGACCTAAATTCAACCCAAATTGTTCCTGACCCGATTTCAAATCACCTTAAATGCAATTTAGACCACCTAATTATTGTTGATCAAAGCATTTTGTTCAGGGAGACCAAGTCGGTCCAGGCCAGCAAAAGAAAGGAGCATCATCCTCAAATTTAAGAGTTAAATATAGTATATATTTGTTGTATGGTCAAAGGAGATAATTATCTTCCTAAAGTATAGACTATAATTCCCTAGTATATTGTCATATATATTATAGTCAAAAGAAATAATTATCTTGATAAAAATGATAATTATCTATTTATACTTAGTTGAACCCGAAGATGAACTGACCCGACCTGATTGTAACCTACAAATTATTTACTTGAACATAACCCGACTTGAATCCGAGAATGACTCGACTTGGAAATGAGCCAACCTGGTTATAACCGGCAAATTATTGACTTGAACCAAACCTGACTTGAACCCGAGAATAACCCGACTTGAAAATGGCCTGACCTGATTATAATCCGCAAATTATTGACTTGAATCGAACCCGACTTAAATCCGAGAATGACCCGACCTAATTCTAACCCAAAAATTATTGACTTGAACCGAACCCGAGAATTACCCTAACCCGTAAAAACCCGAATTAAACCCGACCTATTGTTCATCTGACCTGAATGTAACCTGATCTGTTATTAACCCGACCTAAACCTGACCCAAACCCGATAAGAAGTATGACCCGATGTGACTTGACTAAAGCATGACCCAACCCAAACCCGACCCGCATAGGTTATACAATTAATCCGAATTGACCTGAACCGAGTTAACCCGACCCAAACCCAACCTTTACCCGAATTGACATCTCTAGTCTTTGTGTGAGTGGCTAATTACCTCTTTTAGTAATCATGAGTATGTGTCAAGCTGTGTTTTCGAATATGCTCAACAGCTCAAGATTATAATAAAAAGTTGTAATTATTCAAACTATCTTACACAATGGATTGATACTACATACTTTGTACTTCGTATAAGATATGCGTACATGTTCAATTATTTATGTATGAAGAGCCATAAAACCTCCCTTTGTTGTCAAACGTTTAATATGTACTTTGCCACTTTCTATTGAATAAACATATAATAATTGGATTGAACTCAATTGATTGGAGATGAACTGAACTGAATAGAGTTGAAATGAATTGTTTATAAGAGAAGGAAATCAGAAGCTAAACTGATTGGAACTGAACTGAAATTAAACTGAAGAGGACAAACCCTTTAAAAATGGATAAAATGAGGTGAAAGAATACCATAAAGCTCAAGTTTAGCTTTTAAACTTAGAAAACTATACTTCGCTATATAGCTATTATCGATTCTTTTCAATTTATCTTGTCAAAATTTAAATTATTATAAACCGTATTTAACTAGTGATTATCTAAAATTTGTTGTATCTAAACTGTTTTTAGCTCATGAGCAAGAATAATTTGTAACTTTTCTCGAAAAAATAAACTTTATCAACGAAAATCCTTATACTATGAATTAGAACAATATAATTAGTTTAGCTAGTAAATGCAAGTAGTACACAATAAGATATTTCACATAATCAATTACTAAATATGATCCATGATTGCACAAAGTATTTTACATGTCATTTTTATACCAGTAGTTTATAATTGGCTAATCAATAAACTTAATACACAAAAATAACATAAAATTGGGTTTATTGAGCCAAAGCACTTGTGTTGTAAACAAGCAATGCACCACCAGCAAGGAGTCCGGCTAGAGTCACAGCCCAGATTAATAGGCCAGTGGTACCTACAAGTTTATCCAATATAATTAAGTTAGTTTAACCATAATTTTACTATAACTACATTAAATGATTTTTATTAAATTTCAAATAATATTGTTTAGGATTCGTTTGACATCGTTGTGGTTTCTGTTTTTTGGTTTTCAAACTCATATGATATATGTCATATAATAAATCAAAAATTAGACAAACCCATTAAAATCATGATAATATTAAAAACTGACAATAGAAAAGTAGAAACATCTTTTTCTTGTTTCCTGTTTTTGGTTTTTTATTTTAAAAAAACAGAAAATTGAAAACAAAAAACAATGTCAAACAAGCCCTTAATTATTTATTTATTTTTTGGACAAAATATTGTTTGATGTTAAAGCCATTTAAATTTCAAAGGAAAAATTTTCAATATAATTATGCAATTGTGTTTAAAATGAAGCATACCGCCAGCGTACACGTCACCGCTAGGTGACCACTCCTCTTCGTTGTAGATTGGACTGCACATAATTAGGGTGAAAGTAAGAAATTGGAAAATACTCATAAATCAATGTCTTTCTATAATAGACCAATGATAAATTCAATTAACAATAGTATAAATTATGAAAAGTTAACATTGATATGATTTTAACGGGAAAAAAAAAAAATCAATAACTTAATACAATACTTAATTACTTAAGAACATTTTTAAGAAATCCTGTAGATGTACATGAGAAATATTTATAACTACTTTTGAATAGAAAATCAAAATAGAGACTCCCTAACCTGTAACCATCAACATTGGCACCATATTTGTCAACAAATTGGTAAACACCTTTGCCCTGCATTCATTCCCAAATAGAACATCAATATATAAAAGGTAAATAAATCAATCAATATACTCCGTAACCCTCACTCTTCACAATTTTATTAAAATTAATTCTAATAAGTTATACCAAAATGAAAAATGTAGGGAAAAAAAAAAAAAAAGATGCGCACTACTAAAATTTAATTTTAAGTATGCGTATCTAGAAAATAAGAAATATTAAGTAGAAAAGAAAGTAATGCATCTAATAAAAAATGAAGGAAGTAAGAATTTTGTCATGGACGAAACACCTACCCTTCCCTTCCTTCCAGACGAATCAACACCATCCCTCAACTCCATGCCTCCGCCAATTCCTACATAAATTAGCAATAATATTTGGTTAAGATCTCGTATATATCTTGTATAAGTAGATTAAAGTAGAGTTTTTATAGAGGGGGAATTTCCTCTCTTAAGCTTTACCTTTTTATTTTCCATAGATTCATTAATTTGAATAATAATTTAATCATTATTTATTTATTTATTATCATGACCATTTGAGTTAAATATTTCTAGACTTCTAAGGATTTATGTTGATATACTATGAGTCTGTTCTGATTTATTAATCTGAGCCGAACTTAACTGAAATGAATTGTTTATGAGAGTATGAAATTAGGAAGTGAACTGAATTGATTGAAGCTGAAGTGTACAAATCTGAAATTAAGCTCAAGAGATTAGGCCCTACATACAAGGTTTTTTTTTTTGACGGGACACAATTAATAATTAATTATCTATAAATAATTTTTTTAAAAAAAATAATAATCATCTATCTCATAACCAAAACCTTTTTTTTCCAGCCAAAATAATTTATCATCACTCTTAAAAGTTTCTAATATTTTATTATCTATCCAAAAACATGCAACTGATTTTCTTTATCTACACAAGTTACAAGTAAGACAAATTTTATTAAGTTATTATTGTAAGACAGGTTGAACTTAACCTAAAAATATTTAAAACATGCACGTACATATGTTATTCATCTACTACCTCCGTTACAGGTTATGTGCAACGATTAAACATTTTCCCTCTCTACAGATTATATGCAACGATTTGACATAAAGTAGAGAGGGAAAATGTTTAATCGTTGCGCATAACCTGTAACGGATGTAGTACTACGAGTAGATATGAAAAATGGAATACATACCAAAGGGTTTGTCAGTCTTGATCTTCTTGACACCACTAGCACGAACAGTGAAAGAGGCGGAAGATCTTGAAAGAGAAGGCAAACCTTTGATTGCTGCCTTACTTTCAACACCAAATGAAGAAGGCTTCAAGCTCAATGAAGACATCACTGAGGTTGCCATTGTTTTTTTGCTTCCTTAATTACTATGATATATTTCTCCTATACTAAAGTTTATTGTAGCTTCAATTGTTTACAAGAAACTATTATTAATGCTACTCAATGTTTACCAATTACAAAAATGGTGATTGTGGTTTTTACACGTGGCATGGAATATGTGGATGTCTTTAAGATATGGTATTGCCAACATTATCTAAAATCTAACTTCTTAGCCATTTATTTCTCACCATTTATCATTTTATTTTCCCATATTTTTATTTCTTCGTTTTTTTCTAAAATGTATTACTTGTATTTATGTGGAGGTCAGAAAGAGTTTATTTATTATGAAGTATAATATTATTTGTATTTTTAAATTAGGTGGATTTTCATTAATTTTATGTATTACTTGTATAATATTATTCATATTTTAAAAATGTATTACATTAATTTTCATTAATTTTTATTAAAAGATGGTATGAGGATATCTTAAACAATTTTCATATTTTCTTTAAAAAAAAATCATGTTACCTTTAACCTATTTCAAGGTATTTTTTTTGTTTATAGTGAGTTTGATTGAATTTTAAGGTAAAAGCTAACGAACGTTCCGAGGACGTTGAATAATCTAGCTAAAAGTAGAAAGATTAAATTAAAATGAATTTTAATTACATCGATCGACGCGTGATTTTGTCATATTTTTCCAAATTTATACCATTTTAAGCAATATTTTAAATACTTATCTAACACCCCGGGGGCATTTGTTAATAAGATCCTAATCTATCTATACTTTATTAGTATTAAAAAACACAAACCATCATCTTCATGATGCCACATGTAAATTATATTTTTCCACCAATGCCACATGTCATATCATTTAATCTTTCTCATATTAAAAAAATACACTGGCTTTAATTCAATACATGAATGAATGTTTGGTTCACTTTCCCCCAACTTAATATTTTCTACAATTACATTCAATTTTCACCCCTTATTCTTCTTTATAACTATTAATTTTCCAATAAAAATATACGAGTATTATAAAATTAAAAATTATATTACATATCTATAAACTATCCGTGCATTGCACGGGCCAGAAGGCTAGTTTTAATACAATATTGAATACCATGGTATTGGTTTGTTGTGTGACACTATTTTTTTTTTTTTAATTAAGTGTAATTTTGTGGTATTTCCTTTAGCTATGATTGGCTAAGGGCGGCCCCAACTGTATACAGTTTATAGCTGTTATAGTGGGTTCCAGTTTCGAACAGGGCATGCCAGTCCAATCCAATACTCCAATTAGCTACGCGTATTATTGTACATACGGCCTAATTGCGTTTTTTTTTTTTTTTATTAATATGGACATAAATTGTTTGCTTTTTACTACAAGTAGAAACTAGATGTTGAGGGGGTAAAGGATAATTTAAGGGGTTAAATTTTCTATTTTGGCTTTAGGAGATTTTAGGGATCGATGTTTGATTTTTTTATTTTTTTTTTCTTAGGATCTCTTCATTTTAGGTTAATTTCAATTCAGTTCAGCTCCTAATTTTCTTCTCTTATAAATTATGTATTTCAACTCTATTCAATTTTGTTCAGCTCTAATCAGTTCAGTTTAATTCTAATTTGTTCAACTCAGTTCAGTTAATGTGAACAGACCTATTACTCCCTCCATTTTTAAATACTTACTCCTTTTGATTTAATTCGGTATAAAATTAAAAAAAAAAAAGTAATTAACAAAAAAAAAAAAAAAAAAAAAAAGGTGAGTTGGAGAGTGGTAGTTGGGTTGTTGCTTGACCCACCGCCCAACGGGTAGTCTAGACCGTCCCACTTTCTTCCAGGACCTATTTTGAATTTTCTGTCCCACTTTCTCTCTTCATTTCTATTTTGTCATTTTTCATTTGCCATTTTTTAATTTTCATTAACCTTGGCAGTAAAAAAAAAAGGTGGGGTAAAATCCAATCCAACAAAGAGTAAAAAAACAGACAGTGAGTGGGGAGGTTTGGTGGAATAACAATTAGGGCAGCCTCGTGACAGAGACATGTCTTTATGTATTCTGCCATTTTCTGGAAACATCTTCACTAATCCCATTTTTAATACCCTCCTAATATTCTTCTTATTTTACTTTACTAATCTTAGTAAATTCTTTTTTCTTTTTTTTTTGAAAGGCAATCTTAGTAAATTCTTTCTATTAGCTAAATTTGGTAATATTTGGTGTTTTGCTTTTGGTGATGGTATACTCATCTAACTTGACATTGCCATCGGCCCTCATATATCCTCTACTGCCATTTAAACATGTTTATTTTATTTATTTATTTTTTATACCGAACATGTTACAAAGAAGTCAATTCTATAACGACTCAGGGCTCGTTTCGATTCATTGAAAATAACCGGACTGAATTGATTGACGCTGAACGGAACTGAATATATCTGAAATGAATTGTTTATAAGCGAATGAAATTAGAAACTGAACTTAAGTGAAATTAAGTACTCGTAGAACATAATAGACCCTCAAACTACTTTACAAAATGTATTCACACTACATCAATTTTTTGAGCGTATTATCTTACTTCTAACACTTATAAATTTGTGAGTATTTCATATTTCACTGCTTACATTAATTTTTTCTATTATCCGTTTTGGCCATGGACCGTTGCTAACAACTCACAGGTAGAGAGGCAATGGATCGGATTCGGATCGAGTGGAGCTTCACCCGCATCCATCCATTACTCTAATCGCTCCACCCGCTTCACTCATCATCTGCTTCACCCATCATCCATATCCATCCGTCCATCATCCGCGGATGAAACGGGTGGAGCGGATGACTAATGGATGAGTATTAAAGTTGAAAAAAACTCACATAACTTTAATTTTCGGTTATTTGTACAATAGTTTTATTAATTAAAAAGGAAACAATAACAATATATTGTTTGAAAAATTAATTTGCAACAAAAAAATACATATAATTTTCTTGCACATTTCAGATTTTATTATTAAAATTCTTAGATTAAAAAATTAATATATGTTAAACGGGTGGGTGGATGATTAGCGGGTGAAAAAAGTATCATCCATATCCGTTCCGATCCATCATCCGCTTCATCCGTCACCCGCTTTTCATCCATTTAATTCGAGTTTTCATCCATTTATTTATTGCGGGTGGAGCGAGTTAGTAGATATCCACTTAATATTGACATCCCTACTCACAGGCCATAGTTGTCATACTTGTCTACGAGATAAAGCAACAACCTTTTTTCATAATTAATCATTCTTAAAAATGCAATTAATTAAACTAAAAAGAATCCCCTGTTTTTGTTTTGTTTTGTTTTGTTGTTACTCCGTATCAAAACTCAAGAACTTGCTAGCCAGTACTCACACACCCCCTCCCATAAAGCAATCATCTTTCCCTATAAAAACACACTCTTTTTCCTCTTATCTCTCACCCCAATTCATCATTCATCCATTCCATCAACTTCTAGACAATTCTAGAGAGAGAAAGTAAGAAGCTAGAGAGAGAAAGAAGAAAATGGAGGGGAAAGAAGATGTAAGATTAGGAGCAAACAAGTACTCAGAAAGGCAACCATTGGGAACATCAGCACAATCAAAGGACTACAAAGAGCCACCACCAGCACCATTGTTTGAGCCAGGGGAGCTTCAATCATGGTCTTTTTGGAGGGCTGGAATTGCTGAGTTTATGGCAACATTCTTGTTCCTTTACATAACTGTATTAACTGTCATGGGTGTTAAAAGAGCTCCCAATATGTGTGCTTCTGTTGGTATTCAGGGTATTGCTTGGGCTTTTGGTGGTATGATCTTTGCTCTTGTTTACTGCACTGCTGGTATTTCAGGTCTGCTTCTTAACCCTTTTTTTCTTGTAAAGATTTGAACTTTTTGGGTTGATTTTTTGTTCTTTGTTCATTAGATCTTGTAATTGTTTCTGGGTTTTTCTTGGATTTATTTTATGTTTTTAATAATGTATAAGTGTAGTTTTGAGGCATATAGTTCTAAGAAATTAAAAATAATAATAATAATAAAAAAAATATGTTTTTGGTTTATGAGTAAAACTTGAGCTATCGTATGTAAATGTGTGTTAGATGAAAGCTAATTTTGGGTTATCTTTCATTTTTTGTTTTTAGGTTTTGAATTTTCTGGTTTAAATAACATTCTTAAGCCTATTTATTCCTTTTTCAGTTAGTTTAAAATATTTTCTTCTGTTTTATGCTTATAAATAATGTAGAATTGAGCTTTAAAGGTCGAAATTAAGATGAAAGGACAAAGAAATTGTCAATTTTTACATTTTCCGGGTAAATGTAGTTAATTAAGTATATGTTTTTATCTTTTTCTCGAAAAAAAAAGTATATGTTTTATCTTTGGGTTATTAATGTTTGATTTTATGAAAATTATCAGCTTTCTGGGGTAAATTTTGGGAACTTTAGATGTTTAAAAAAAACCTTCAAGCTAAAATTAAATCAAGATAGAAAGATAATGTAGTGTTATTTTTTCCTTCTCTGTTAAATGTAATTAATTGTAGTTGTTAATAGATGAATGGTAAAATTTTGGTTAATAAGGTTAAACTGAACAAAGGTTGTGAATATATTGGACAGGTGGTCACATAAACCCAGCAGTGACATTTGGTCTGCTATTGGCAAGGAAACTGTCCTTATCAAGGGCTGTATTTTACATGATAATGCAATGTTTAGGAGCCATTTGTGGTGCTGGTGTGGTTAAGGGTTTCCAGCCAAACATCTATGAAATACAGGGTGGTGGAGCCAATGTGGTTAACCATGGTTACACCAAAGGTGATGGTCTTGGTGCTGAGATTGTTGGCACTTTTGTTCTTGTCTACACTGTTTTCTCTGCTACTGATGCTAAGAGGAGTGCTAGGGACTCCCATGTTCCTGTAAGCCTTTTCCTTCACACTTCTCTAACTCCTTTTTATTTCTGAAGTGCTTGTTTTTGCGATCCTTAATTCCCGTGAAAAACGAGAAATAAATGAGCATTTTATCAAAGGAGGGAGGGAGTAGTATATGTATTGCATAAATTTCATGCATTATTAGTTCATTACAAATAAAATTCAAGTATAATTGACCCAATATTACTTTAGTTTGCTCCAACTTGACCCAAACACCTGATTTCGGAGCTCAAAATTCTCCTAGATTACTTAAATTGTTGCTCATAAGTTCTAACAAACCATCAATAAATGTAATTATTAGCTTAGTGTCTAATATGAGGTTAATTTGGCTAAATTTAAGACAAGAATTTGGATTAGAGGATTATATATGTGATATATTGAGATGGCTGAAGCAATAAGCATACATGAGTCATGAGTATTTCTGGGGGGAAATTGATGTGTTAACTGAAATACTTCTGTGATTTGCACATAAACACCCCTTAACTGATAAGCAAGCTATAAATGTTGCTTAACACAGTACTATCTGAGATTGCAGTGATATTAATTGGCTATCTTGATTTGTTGTACCACCTGAATTTATATCAGGGTGGTGGAATGTTAACATCAGGGTCTAAGATTGTAAATGACTTGTTCTTTTTACTACTGCAACATAATGATGGTAACTTATAGTACTCCTCTTGCTAAATAAATGCAGATTTTGGCACCACTGCCTATTGGATTCGCCGTGTTCTTGGTTCACTTGGCCACCATCCCCATCACAGGTACCGGCATCAACCCTGCCAGGAGTCTCGGTGCTGCCATCATCTACAACAAGGACCATGCTTGGGATCATCATGTACGTCTACTCGACCTTTCTACCACTTCTTATTGTATTATACTATTATGTTATTATTTCTCAATAGCAGTACATATCAAACATTTATGAGCCATTTGTTGCAAACACCGAGCAGCAGTCCCATTTCCCTCCCTACTAGGCTGCTACTAATGTGACTCGAAGTAATCTGTAGTAGTGCCGTGTTCTATTTTATACTTGACTCTAATGACCCTTTATCTCCTTGTGTATGTGCAGTGGGTTTTCTGGGTTGGACCCTTCATCGGAGCTGCTTTGGCTGCATTGTACCACCAGGTGGTGATCAGGGCTATTTCATTCAAGTCTGGATCTTAAGAAAGGATGTTTCTTGAATTGTCTGATGCTGTTTGTGCTTGTTTGTTCAAGGACTTATTATCTATTTTTTGTTACGATGTTTTTGTAATGAAGTTGTTGTATGAGGATGTGAATATCTTAACTTGAATTATTATGCTTAATTTTATGGCAGCTTCTAAATTGCTTTTCAATGTTTCAAGTAACTTGCAAGTTGGTTTTACCGTTTTTTATGACTCTTGATGACTTCAGGCTTTCCTGACCTTCATTACAATAATCAATTAAATACAGTATCGGAGTTGCAACATTGTTCTATCTACTGAGAGAAAATGACCATCCTGTATTCCTGTAACTCCGAATTCAGTTTTAAACTAACGCTATATGTAGCCAGTTCTGCTGCATCCTAGTAAACGGGGCCTAAGTCACCAACCCGATCTCAACTTAAATGGATTATGGCTTATATTTGGAAAATGAACTCGAAACCAACACACTTAACCAGTTTATTTTGACAAAACACCCAGATAGGTACTACACACTGTCATTAGAGCCCACACACTGTCATTAGAGCCCATTTAAAGGGTCATACTCCGCAAATTATAATATGCACCATGGTGCACCTTAAATTGTGTGCACCACCAATGAGTTGATGCCACGTAATTAGTAGTTGCCAGCTGTAGCTTTCTTCTTTCAAATTCTCAACGTTCTTCCCTTTTCTATTTCATGTGTTCTTTCCTTTTTCAATTATTTTCTAATTTCTCAATTCCTTTTCTTCAATTTTCTTCTTAAACTTACCTGATTTTAAATCATCATACATAATTTCTCTCTCCTCTATTTTCCCTCTTCTCTATCTTTCTCTCTTCGTATATTGAATGCGGTTATCACCATTGTTTATTCCTCTGTTTTGATTGAATTTGGCTGGAATTCTCCTGGAATTACCTTCATTATAAAAGCAAATTCGACTAATGAGATAGGATCGAGAGGAAAAATCTTGCATTTAATTTAATATTTGACTGGTTTTTTCCCGGAGAAGATGATGATGGTTCGACGGAGTAGTTGAGGCGAAATAGGTGGCGGTGGATTTTAGCTATATGAGGAGATTAATTTAGGAAGAAATTAATTAGGAAAAGTATATCTAACTTGCAGAGTATGTGGAGCTTCATTCATGGTGAATGTAGCCTAACTTGGAGAGAGAAAGTAATAAAGTTGTTAATGTATATCCTCATATAGTCATATCTGACTTACTTTGGTTAATTTGATCAAAAAAAAAATCAACTTAGCTTGGTATCAATTAAACAATCACGCATCCCATCAAAAAAAAATAAATTAAACAATCACGCACATTCATATAATTTTCAATACATGAACCCCTTTTATTTAGTTCATGTGTATAGAATCGATCATTTTCTCATTTTATTATGAACATTCCTGTATTCGTTTATATTTTGGTAATTTTGAACATTTTTGTTAAAAATTTGAACATATGATACGTATCCTATGTAAATAAATTTTTACCGGTATATATTTTGGAATTTTGAACATCTTAATTATAATTCTGAACATGCTATACATTTCTTATGAACATTTCTTTAGATCTATGAACATTATGAACAGTACATCTTAATTATAATTCTGAACATATATTTAGGAATTATGAACATCTTAATATACAGATTGGTTATTAACATATATTTTTAATTATATTTTTCAGTGAATAAAGAATAAATCTATTCTAACTCAATAAAGAAACAAGTGAGAACTGATAAAGAAGCCTTTTGAGCTATAATGGTTATGCTTTTTGATTTGAACTTCTAACGTAATTTCATGAACATATGTTATTTATGGACATACATATATATTTTGCATTTGCTTAAGAATTTGTTATATATTTTGTTATTAATTAGATATATGAACCTATATGTTACATTGGTTTTGAACATATATTCATTCTATATAAGAGTGCTAAGTAATTTTATACAAGTGGATACGAAGTATGGAGTATTAAGTTTGAACATTCTACTTTCATAAATTGAACACTAATTTTTTTTTAAATGAACATAATAGACGTATTTTCTTATTAGTTGTTATTAAGAGCATATGATCAATGGACATAGTACTATACCTGTATTATAGCTTTTTTTCTCACCGAGATAGTAATAAGTCCTTTTTATAATAGGCTAATAGCTTCAAATAAAGAGCGAAAGTGGTAATACATTACTATATATGTTGATAGCTGGTTTGTATGAGGTGAAAAATTTATAAGAAAACTCATACGTTAAAATATGTAAAATAATAATATAGAATCTGGCATACAACATGTAAATGACAAATAAATATTAAGTACAAAATAATAAAAATCAACTAATAATAAGAAATTTAAAATGAGTGAAGAACCATGATAATAAACCTATAGGTATGTATTTATTATATTGAAAATGAATATGATAAATGAACAATTAGAGTACAATTAATGAACATTTTTTGTCACATGCATATATAGTACATGAATGAACAATTAGAGTACAACTTATGAACATATTTTGTCACAATTCAACGCCCTTATTATGTTCTTATGTTATTTGGATTTGGATTTTTAGCTAGCAACACAGCTCATATTTCGTAACCTTGCCTCCTCTTTTCTCCAATTCATTTTATTCATTCATGTACCAATTTCTTCGCCCATACAAAAATGATAGGATGAGTCTTTTTGGATGCAGAATATTTCTCTTTTGAGCACGAACTCATCAAAACAACTGTATAACATAAGCAACGAGCATAAGAATATGAACAATAAGTATTTAGAATGAACAAATTAAACAATATTAATTAATATGAACAATAAGCATAAAAATATGAACAATAAGAATTAGAATATGAGCAATGTGCATTAGCATAAGAACAAACGACTTTCGTGGCTTTTCACTTGATTCTGATGCCTTATCAGAAGTTTTAGAGGGCTAGTCTGTTTCTTCTAGTGGCATATCAGAAGTTTCAGGGGGGGCTTTTCTGTTTCTTCTAGTGGCTTATCAGAAGTTTTGCTTCTCAAAAGTTTCAAAGGGCTTTTTTAATTTCTTTTGGGGGCTTTTCTATGGCTTCTGGTTGCTATTAAGATGTTTCGAGGGCTAAGCAGATGTTTGTTGTGGCAGTTCAAATGCTTGTGGGGGTAGTTAAGATGTCTTTGGACTGTTAATAAAAAAATAAACAACATAATGAAAAACAATGAACACCCAAACAAATTTGAACTTCATAAAGCATAAGCTATATGATCATAAATAATAATTAATATGAACATGAAACATAAAATATATGAACACAAATATTGAAGTGGGGGTTGTTCACTGTTCTTTAGGGGGATGTTCAGTGGTTATATTGTGTTGTTTAAAAGTTTTTTGAGGGTGTGTAGTAGTTGGTCTGCTTATTATTAAATATTAAACAATAAAATAAGGAAACACACAACATCCAAACAAATTATTATTTCATCATACCAAAATACTTAATATAATTTATACACAAATTATTACTTCATAAATATATATATATATGAACATCAAACATGAATTATATGGGCACAATTGCATTGTTAGCATTGCCTCCACTAAGTTCAGAAGTTTTTGAAGGTGGTATAGAACTTTATGGTGCTTGTACAAAACTTTATGGTGCTTGTACAAAAGTTTCTGGAGGTGGAACAGAAGTTTCTGGAGTGGGTGGTATAGAAGTTTGTGAAGGTTGTTCAGAATTTTCTGAAGGTAGTACAAAAGTTTCTGGTGGCTTCTCTTTCTTATGGGTTTTTTCTGTTTCAATGGGCATCTTTGGTTCAGAAGTTTTTGGATGTTGTTAAGAAGGTTTTGAAGTGGGTTCAGTGTTTTCTGGTTGTTTTTCTCTCGTAGGGGGTTCTTCTGTTTCAGGGAGAATCTGTTGTTAAGAAGTTTTTGGAGGTTGTGCAGAAGGTTTTGAAGAGGGTATAGAAATTTGTGATTGTTCAGAAGTTTTTGGTGGTTCAGAATTTTTAGGGGATTGTGAGGGTTGATCAGATTTTTCAGGGTGCTGTTTAGATGTAAGTGGGGGCATTTCAAATGTAAGTGGGTGCATTCCAGTAGTTGGACTATTAATAAAAAAAATAACAATATCATTAACATTTGAAACAAATATATGAATGTAAAGCAAATTGAATATCATAGTAAACAAAACATATATGAACATAAATTGAAGTGGAGGTTGTTTAATGTTTTTTGTTCAAAAGTTTCTTAAGGGTGTTCAACACAATATTAAATAGAACATATACCAACGTAAATTGAAGTGGGGGATGTTTAGTGATTTTTTCTTGTTGTTCACAAGTTACTTTATGGTTGTTCAAACAAAAATAAAAAATAATTAAAATCAATGAACATGCTAACAAATATACAAACATAAACATGGAATTGTGGGTTGTTCAGTTGTTTATAAGCGATGTTCAGTGGTTTATTTTGTGTTGTACAAACATAAATTATATTTCAAACCAAACAACGTATATGAACATTAATCAAGAAATATATAAACCAAAATATACATGTTTGTTGGACTTTCTGAAATTTCTTTGTCTAATTCTTCCAATATTTTTTTATCAACAATTTGACTTGAATTAGATATATCTTCTAATTTCTTCTTTTTTGGTGTTTTGACTTTGAACATTTTGCTTAATGTCCTGTTCAAAAAGTTATGGTACAAATTAGTATTCAATTTTAAAATTTTCAAATTGTGAATTTAAATAATAAATTACTTACATATCATCTTCATCCTCTTCAATAGGAGTAGATATTTCTGATTTTCTAGCAAAAAAAAAAAAATTGAAAGAAAAAAATCAAAACGACAATTATTTTAACAAATTTAACGAAATCGTATCAAAATTAAAGTAATTTAAGTGATGTTCACCTTTTTGAAGTTGTTTTTAGTTGTTCTTCATCGTTCGCCATGGGAGACTAACGGTTTTTAGAGAGAGAAAATTGAAGAGATGAGTGAGAAAATTGAAAAGAGGAAAGAGAAATGCTAATGAATTAATTGAAGGAAGTTTATCATTTATGAGAGGAGAGAGAATATTTTTAAAATGATTAAAAAAATAAAATGGTGTTAAATATGGAAGAGAAAATAAAGAGAGATGAGGGAAGATTGTTACGTTGTATTTCATATTCCATGTAGTACTGGATATATATAATGTACATTTTTTAGGGTT